AAGCCATAGGGAAAAGATTTGACCTCTAGACCTGAGTATCTAGACGTGCACCTCCTCAGTCCATCACTGTCATGAAGCATCAAGTATGGATTTACAATCAGCCTAGAGTCCACACTCTGCTCTGCCATTGACCATTTCCATGACCTTAAGTGAGTGGGTCACTTAACTCCTCTGAGTCAATTTCTTCCTCTGTAAGAAGAAGTTAACAATAGCTGCTTCACCTCCCTCACAGCTATGTTGTGAGGATCCAGTGAGATAATGTCTGTGAAAGTGCTCTGTGAGCGTATAAGGCACTTTAACATTCTAGTTATTACTGTTATTACTGTTTCCTTATTACCCTTGACTTCTCAGAATCAGCTGAGGCAGGATGGTTACTGGTGACCTTCGGGTTGGTCACCATGTTAACACTAAGGATACTATAATGTCAGCACTTTAGTTTCTACTGTGGATTACAAATTTGGTAATAATCATACTGCATTTGAACAATTATACCTTTTGGCTTTTTAATTATATGAGCATGGACTTCTGGAAAACAATAGTAGTAGCTACCAATTAATGAGCATGTACCAAGAATCATGCATTGTTCTAAAGTACTTTACATCAACTATCATCTAGCACCACTACAGGAGAGGTTGTTATTATTCCATTTTATTGATGGGGAAACTAATTTGAACCCAGGCCTCTAGCTCTAGAATCCATACTTTTACCTGTTGTCCTGCAATTCCTTTAGTGACAAAGTGAGGTTTAGAGTAAAGAGAGAGAAACCAATCAGAAGGCCACACTGAATTATTAGAGGCAAGAATATGGACCTGAGCAAGGACACCTGGAATCTTAACGAAAGGCAAACAAGAGTATTTGAATTGCTAACTACCAGTGTTGCTGAGGGCTTAGGGTCATCAGATACTTCCATATACTTCTATGAGAATATAAACTGGTACAACCTTTTGAAAAGACAATTAGCAGAATGTATCAAGACTCTAATGATAAATCCCCACATTCCCACTAACTCAACAATGCCGCCTGTAGTAGTTTGTCCTAGGGAAATAATGGATGTGCACAAAAGACGTCCACTGCAATGTTGTTTCTAAAAGTAAATACATAAAAACAAATACATAAATACATAAATGTCCAAGAAAAGGAGATGGGATAGAGAAACCACTGCATACTCATATAAGTGAACACTCTTCAGTCATTTTAAATGATGCTATAGGATGTGAAGCTATCTGTCTGCGACATCTTGTCACTCCATTGATCCCTAGGATTGATTCGGCTGATCTGGCTGGCTAGGTGGGTGTCCCCTTCCTCCCTCACCACTCCATGTGCGTACCTCCCAAAGCTGCACGCTCGATTGAAGAGGACGACATTCCCCGATAGAGAAGGGGACCATTTTTCGGTCAAGGGTATACAAGTATGTAGCAGCGCTCCCCTGCTAGAACCTCCAAACAAGCTCTCATAAAATGATGCTATAGCAAAAAAGGAATGAGCATTTTGTTAAGGAAAAGAAGTGTGTAAAAAATTCTATTGGTATAGGCTTTGGTACCTGACTAGTTCTGAGTGGGTTTACCAGCTGTCTGTGGGAGCATGTGCAAGTCATTCGATTTCTCTGAACCTCAATTTTCTTATTTTTAAATGAAGTTAAGAAAAGTACCAACCTCACAGGGTTGAGAGACTTAATAAATTAACCTATGTAAAGTGCTTGGTACACAGCCTGGCCCGAAGCAAGCATGCGATGTTACTTATTTGCAAAAATCTAGCAAATTAACACACACAACACACATATCATTACGAGTATTTGTAATACAAATATTACAAATAATAGAGCAAAATTTTAACACTGATTATCTCTGGAAGTGGAATAATAGATATTTCTTCTTTTAAATTCTCTGTATTTTCTAGATTTTTTTTACTTGGATAAAGCCAGCAATATATTAAAATTTAAGTATCTCCATTTTTTTTTCAGGTAGCCTTAATAACACTTCTCTCAATCAATTGATTTTCTTAGTATAATCCACTCTATGCATATTGTGCTTATGGAAATGGGGGTACTTTATTTATTTAATCTGAAGAGTAATACATTTTCCTCTTTATTCTTCTGAGTCAAGCAGCTTGCTCATATTTCCTCCTATAAATGTCTTTTCTGCATCCTTATACATTTGCAGATTAGGGGCACTCTGAAGGATTACTGGAGCATAAAAGGTAGGGAGAAAGAATGGATTAGTGTCTCTAAAAGCAAAGTGAAAGGAGACAAAGATGACAACTTCATGATAGGTATATAGAAAAAAGTATACCTTACCTCAATTATGTAAGGCCAGAAATTACTGCAATAAATATTTCAACTCCATGGACAATTTCCTAGTGTGGTCAAAACATGGAAGCAATTCAATAGTTCAGCAATCCATCCACTACAGTGACAATCATTCTGAAAGAAAAAAAAAAAGTCTCGTTGAGGGAAATGTGATGAAGTAATACTCCTTTTTTAGGCTCGAGACCTACAGGAGAGGGAAATCAATTATGAGAGGCAGCTATGCACTTTAGGAATCAAGTATAGTTACATCATTTTTCTGCTGGGGTGGGAGGGGCAGGCCCAAATAAAAGAGAACCTCAAATATCACGCACTCTAGTCTCTTCTGCTTTAAGTAAAAGCCGGTCACTTGCTGTTGGGGTATCTCACCATCATGTCTAAGAAAAGGGCTGGGTCCTCGCAACCTTTCACCTTCATTTCCATTACTGTTCCCCATGTATCTGTCAATATGTACGTCAGTCAGCTCATAAATACCATCTATCATTATATTTTGATATGTCATTTCAGTCAGACCACTCCATAAGAAACAAATGGCCTTTCTTTTAAAACTAGCCCCACTGAGGATTTTCTCTGTAAATGGAAGTTTCCTGAGATTAAAATCGTGCGATTATTTTCAAGTCATCCTTCTCTATCATCCTTCATTCCAAGATCAGTTAGTCTATCACCACTTTCCCTTGAATGTTCTACTGTTCTCTACCTCATCTTTTTCACTCCAATTGACTGGTATTACCAAATTCTTTGGCACCCCCACCTGTTTACAACAGCAGGCTCTAACCTGGCTTCTCTCCACAGATCACTACCTATCCACTTTCTCTTGCAGAGCAACTGCTTTCATCCTATTACCTGTATAACCCTGAACAGGTCCCCTATTTCCTGGGTCTCAATTTTCTTGACTGTAAAATGAAGAACTGGTTTCAATGTTCTCTAACCTTGTTGTGCTTCTAAGTCTGATGTCCCTGGACTTGGATCTTGGTCCAGGAACTCTGTAGAAATTAGACAAATTATATTTCCTCAAAGCTCAATGTATTATGTATAAAATAGGAATATGATCATCTACCGTTAAGGTTGAGAACAAGAACTATGAGATCTTGTGCCTGACATATAGCAGGTACTCAACAAATAGTCACTCTCACCCCACCTTATAGGATACCTTCCATTCTGAAGTTCTCTGTTCTTCTAATTTCCAAATCTAGCATTCTCTCACATCCTTATCCATGGTAGTAATAAATTTCTCTTCCATCAAACCTAAACTCCTCTACTGACTTTCAGGTTCTTCCGTAATCTAGACCCACTTTATCCAATCTTCCTTCAATTTCCAACAAACATCTTCTTCCCTAATCGGGTAAGTCTGATTATGTTCCAAAGAACACGATACACCTGCTTTTGAATGAACACATCATTCCTCACGTAGATACAGCTTTTCTTTTCCCCTCTGTCAAGGCCCTGCTCAAGTCCATGGCCCTGGCAAAGCCCACCTTCCAGACAATTTAACCCTCACACAGTGTCTTAATGGAATTTCCCATTGTTTTGTGTTTACTGAGCTTTATTGTCCAGCTGGAAAGAGGCTATTTGACTATTTTAAGTTAGTTTTTCACTTCAGCATGGACCACATTAGCGTTTTTATGAACCTAGTATTTTTTGGCTTTGCAAACCTAGTATTTTTTGGTTTTGTTTGTTTTCTTTGAAATTTACAAGCCTTTTCGCCTTGAGGTAAGATTCTTTAATTAACTTCACCATTTTCATTTGTGTGGAGAAGCTCACACAGGAGTCTATTCCACCATCAAGAGCAGACCATTCATAGACAATCTGGGGTCTCTTCATGGAGCCAGGAGGTGAGCTCTAAATATGTCTCATGTCTGCAGATTTTGTGTCAAAGTAAACATGTTCTATTTTAAAAAAACAGTTTTGACCAAACTCCTAGCAACAACAGGAATGACTCACAGTGGGGAAAGACTGTTTGCTAGACAGTCATCTCAAAAAAAGATGGTTGAAACCCCAAGACTAAATGAAAATTCTAAGGAGAATGAATAGAGGACACAGTGAAGGATGAAGGGAGACAAAGGAAGAATAGATGAAAAAGACACAGAGAGGTGGTTACAGAGAATAACCATGAGAGTAGAGAAGTACATTAGCCCAAAGAAAAGTGAGTAAAGTCAAATGCTGTGGACAGGGACTGAACAGATGTCACTGGATTTAACAATTGGTAAGGAGGTCACTGGTGACCCCTGAGGGCAATTTTCAGCAGGGATGGTACTGGATGAAGATTGCAGAGGACTGAGGAGAAACTGGAAGGGCAAATTGAGACAAGCAGAGACTCCTATCAAGATCTGTCCTTAGCGAGTCAAAAAGGTTTGTGTCGGTCATTTTCTACCCTGACACTTACCTGACTTAACAGCCCAATAAAAACACCTCACCTCACTCTAACTCCCTGGCTTCTCACCTCTCCATACGCAGAGACAGAGCTCAACCAAAAATAACAGACTGCAAATCTTTCCAGCCTCTCCTCAACAGCACCCTTGTGTGCCTGGTTTTAGTTCTCTGTGAAACCTTAAACAATTATTTAACAGCTATATGCTATCAAGTCTGAACATTTAAATATCTTCCTGCTTTAGGTAAATGATAGTTATTCCCATAACAGAGAAAAAGAAAACAGACACTAAAGTGTATCAGATCAACAGAGCAAAAGTCCAGATTTAGGTCAAATACTATATTACTATCTTTGGATAATCTATATCATTTATACTGAATGGTCAAAAAGATAACTGGAAACACTTCTTTTCCTTCAAAGTAGTGCTTGTTTTTAACTGTAAGTTTAGAAAAACCAAATATGATCAAGAAAAAATTAAAACAGTATCAGCATTTTAAAAATCTTCCACTTTCATATGTATGCTTGACACACTTATAAACACAATATGCAAATGTGTAAGCATATATAATTTTTATTAAAAGTTAATTGCATAGTATTATGTGTAACCTGCTTGTCTCATTTACTCTGACAGAAGTATTGTGTCACTTCATAGTGCTCTATACCTTTATTTTTAATGACTGTAAAAAAAATCCATTTTAATAAATCCCTTTCAAGCACTTAAGCCACCTACAATTTTTGATTAGGTAGATAATAGTGAGATGACTATCCTCAAACAGAACATTAAGTATTTGCTAGTGATAAAGTCACGGGTCAAATGTATGGAAAATATATGGACACGACATTGTTGGTAACTTGCCCTACAGAATGCCGGACTCACTCCACGCTCCAGTGGTACACGAGTGGTATATGAGGGGGAGGTACACGTCTCCACATTCCCGCTAAAGCTGTGTAGTATTATTTTTTAAATTATCCTATTTTATAGATTTAAAAAGTTCATTTTCACTAGCATTTTCTCTGAGACTGAACATTTTTTTACTTTTTTGCTCATCTTATGTGTGTCCTTTATTTTTCTGCTAGAATGTTCATGTTATTCATTTGTAGTACTTCTTTATCCACCAGGGATATTATTAACTTGGTACCCTAATAACAGAGAGAAGATGGTAGATTAATTGAAAACCTTGGGCTATAAGGAACGAAACCCACTCAAGCCTAGCAGAGTCAGAGGGGACCCTTGTCATAAGGATACAGAGGTACTTTTATATCAGGATACTTTGTCCTATGTGTTGCAAACAGCTTCCTCTCTGAAGTGGAAACACTACTACTCTACCGGTCTATTCTGAGGATTAAAGAAAATGCAGATAAAGTTGTGAGTGGCTGTAATCATTGTTATAACAAATAAAAATTGCTGTTACTAAGTACTTACTAGGGTGCCTTATTCTTTTAGTCCTTACAAAGAGCCCATTTAGGCAGGTGTTATCATTCCTCTCTGTAATAGGCATTCACAGTTAGTAAAATTAAAGTTAGATTTTCATTTTACAAATAAGCTTTGTATTGATCCTAAAAAAGACTTGGTAACAGAATTATTCCCAGCTGCATCTTTAGTAACATTTCTTTCTGAACAGTCATCCCAGGGACGATTCCAATCACTCTGCCAACAGAAAACCGGGTTACCAGCTTCTGCACCATTCATTCTTTTAAGTTCCTCATTAGTAAACTCTCTTCTGCTCCCTCTATGACGTGTCTTTACTATGAAGTGCCATTTTGGTAACAAGATAAATATTTCTGTTTAGAAGCCAAGGCCACTTTATCAGTTACTACAAACTTAATCCCATGATAGATACTTGACTTTCTAACACTCCAAATACCCTTAAAGGTTCTTCGGCTGCTTACATGTTTATGATGTCTGTGGTAACAGTATACACCTGAACCTATGCTTTTGTAAGGGTGAAGCAGCACTGACCTGTATAAATATTTTACGTACAGCTTGTACTGAAATTCTAGATGAAGAGGCATTCATAGACACTCCGTAATATGCTGGTTGCCCAAGATAAAATAAATAAATGTTTGTGCAAACTTTATCATCTCATATGCGGTTCCCCTTGATTTAATGCTAAATATATCCCCCCCAAACTGTTTTTATTTTTTAATGCATTAGCTATGCTGTGGGCAAGGCAGCATCCGAAATAATGGCAAAGGAAGGTAGCTGATCATTTAACTCGATCGCATTCAAAATTAGTCAGTCTAGTTACTGAGAAGTCTGAAGGCAAAAGTGCTCAGTATGAGAGAGCCAGGAAGATGAGTTTCTTTGCAGGAATATTAATAGAACTAAACTACCCATCGCCAGAAAAGTGAAAAGGAAACCTCTCTCCATACTTATATGAATTCACTGAAGATTTATAGAAAATGCTTAGGAATTTAAAGGCTACTCTTCTGAAATAAACTGGCTTTGGAAACAGCTAACCAACAACAAATACTTCGATTCCCCCTGCCAGTCTGGGGTACAGCCACCCACAAATCAGCAGCCATGAGGAAGAGCAGGTGATACCCTGAAGTGGGGATCTGACCACAGGCCACTGCTGCTTGATGACACCAGAGAAGGCAGAGCCTACCACAGTGCCTGGCTGCAGCAGCCACTTGGGTTACTGACCGGGGAAGGCAGCTTTCTCAATGTTTTTCTCTCTTAACTTCCCTCATTCATGTGGTTAGAGAACTCTGGCTTCCGTTTGGGGGAGGCTGTGGTCAGGCTTCC